GAGAGGCGGGGGGGCCTCATGAGCTAAACAAATAACTACTCTTTAAAAAAATACACAGACTCACCTAAATAAAATGCTAAATACAGTGCCCTCATCATATTTGGCTTCTGTTAACAAAGCAACAAAACACATCTTTCAATATAGTTAGTTGTGCAATGGCAAAGCCTGTCAGACTCCAAGAAGCAAGGCATGACATACATTTTGTCAAAGGGTTGTCACCTAGTAAAAAAAATGGGCTCAATTGGGGAAAAACTGTGGTACCTGGATGGTGACAGCATACTATTCTGCCATAGTACATTATATTATGATACTATTATAACATATTATACAAGGTCATCATAGCAAATTATATTAAGAAATATAAACAGCTATATTTCGCAGCCAGAGCATATTGTGCCACAACTACAAAAATATTAGTCAGTAAGAGCTTAACAAGTTGCGACAACAATACAATGCTGCATAGCTATGTTAAATCAAATCTCATCATCACATAATACATACCTCCCGAGAAAGACACATCAGTGCAGTGATAAAATCTGATAAAACGTGGCGCTTTGCACATGCTGTGGCGACATATGGTTTGCATTGGACTGAATATTGCATGTGGCTTAGAGGGGTGTAGATAAGTAGAGTCTGAGTCTACTTGCATTATACACTGCACACATATGCCACATTCTTTGTGCGCACAAAATACTATAAATTACTGTGGCACAAGTGACAGTCATACAGACACATTATCCTGAGGACAAAGGATAATTTTTTTAAAATAGAAATATTCTATAATACTGTTATTCATATAGGTTGAACTTGATGGACTTGTGTCTTTTTTTTAACATGACTAACTATGTAACTTTTTTTTTCTACACACATAATTTAGACAGAGAGCTAAGTTTATTAGGGTCTATTTTTCATTAATTTTATGGTTGTTTTACGGACAACGGTCGCTTTTAAAACAAGACTTTTGTTGAGAAATAGCAGTGTCCTTGGTTATGTGTATAGGGCAGTGACACTGATCTGTGTATATACCAGTGACCCCTGGAGACATGTATTTGACAGTGACCCCCACTATGTGTAAATATCAGTGACCCCGATATGAGCATATAGCAATGACTCTTATATGTGTATATAGCAGTGTAAATGATCTCCTTTATTGGCTAATTTAATGCCTAAAATCCTTTCTTCAGGCGTTATACAGTTCTGTAAACTGGACATGTGCAAATCCTTTTGTTCCAAATTGAAATTCGTATGAATTTTCAGAAATTCTGACATTCGGATGCATTTGAACTTTTGAATAAAAATGTTCTTATAAGGAAATTCGAATGCATCTGAAATGTTTTCCAAATGTTGTTCGGAATTGTTGTTAAAGGTTAAAATAAAAAAAGCGTGGAGTCCCCTCCCCAAATCATACCAGACCATTTATGCTTGGCATGTTGGGTATTTATTACTCAGAATAACTTCATATTTTATATTTTTTTTAAATGGGTAGTATAGTGTATTTTGTGCACTAAAATTACCAATTATATTTATAAAATTTTGACAGAAATTTGGGGTTTGATCAAGAGATGCACTAATAGTATGTAACTTGCAAATTTGAAACTGCTGCCATTTTATTTTACAGGGTCTGTGCTTTCAGAAAATAAATAACTCTTATGGGGTTTAAGTACTTATTAGAGTACTTAAGAGAATTTCTCTCATTTGTTGCTGTGTTCCCAGAACAAGAATTAATGGGAAATCTCCCCATGAAAACACAGATAGCAAAAATAACCTGTCCAAACAAAAAAAGTTTGTGCTATACATAAATGTTAAAGCTTGGTTAACTGAGCCTGATATGTTTTAAAATTCTCACTGCTAAAACTGGAAAAAAAAGTTTATTTTTACATTTTTTTTTTTTTTAATTTTTTTTTTTTATGTTTGTCTTGTGGTGAAATAGTTAAAAACAGCTCAAGGCTGATCACATGTACAGAGTGGCAATGTGAAATGTAAGCACAGGGATACTTATATAATGGGACAAAGGGATTTTAACCCTTACCTACTCTATCCTAAACAACAACAAACAATATGGCTTTACAAACATATTCAGTTTGTGGCAATAGTTCTGGTGGGAGATCGTTGTGGTGTGTTGACAGGTCTTTGGTTATCACATAGTCAGAAATATTGGGGTTTTACAAGGGGCATATACCTTTTTAACAATTATAAAACAAACTTCTTTTTTGTGACCACAGGTTAAAATGATAAATTTTTTCACATTGCATTCCCCTTATAGTTTTATTCTACCCTCCACTACCACATTTACAATCGGTCATACTATGGTACAGTTAGTCAAATTCATACAACATGCTTGCCAGATATTTAGATCTTGTATTGCTTGATAGCATCTTGTGGCAGATGGCACGTTTCCAACAATGCTTCTTCGGGGAATAGAGAGCAAACTGTTCAGTGAAATAAAAATTTTTAAAAAGACACAAAGGCTTGTCAAACACAACCAAAACATAAACAAAATGATGCACATAATTTTTGTTTCATATATTTGTATATACCCATTACTTATCGGCACTCACTATGAAGTACACATATAATGCAAGGGGACTTATCTGGCCTAGAAATGGGAAAAAACCACCTCCCCTCGCTGCCGAAGAGCCTGGGAGGAGCACAGGGAGGAGCACAGATAGCAGAGAAGTCGGCAAGATGGTCCACTTAGTCAGTACCAATCTAGATGTAAATTTATTTATGTTCACTAGTTGAGTGTTCATAGTCATCCAATATATAGCTTAAGGACCTTTCCAAAACCCCTTACATCCTGAATTTGAGGAGTGGACTTCCACTCAATCCACTGATGTCTAAATTACTATTTTAGGATTCAAGGTAGGGGACTCATTAGGCCAGAGCTATGTATACAAATAAATAAACAAACACAAACCGTGTAAATATAATAACTTCATAAGCTACTAATTGCCATAATT